ATCCTATGATCTGTCCCACACTACACTATAGTTACTCAGTCAAAGGGTCACAGGGACAGAGGTTTGCTCCTAGGAGTCTTAGCCAGGAACAGAAGTAAGGAAGGATAAGAGAAAGAAAGGGAGAAAGAGTAGGAAGAAAGAACAAGAGAAAAAGGAGGAGGGAGAAGAAAAGGCCAGATTGAGGCAGGGGAAGGAGGGAAAGAGGAGAAATTATGGGAGGAAGAGGAGGGAAATGAAGGAGACAAAGCTGAAGGGAGAGGAGGAGAAAGAGGAAGAGGGAGAGGAAGGAGAAGAGGAGAGGGAAAAAGAGTTGGAGAAGGAAAGAGTAGAAGACAGAGAAGAAGCAGAGGACAAAGAGGGCCAGAATCTCTGGGGACCTTGGCAAAGTGCATAGGGCAGGGAGAAGTAGTCTTGGCTGATGAGGACATGACCTTGGAGGTTCGGTTGAGCAGAGGGTCCCTTCCTGAGGTCAAAGTGAGCCTCTGTTCAGTTGCTGAGCCCTTGGGTTATCACAAGGCCATTTGAAAGCAAGTGTCCCTTTTAGGAGAGGCCTCAGTTCATTTGATTTCTCTGGAATATGGAATTATAAAGGATAGTCTTTGGGAGTCGCTAGCTTGAAATAGAGCTGGTTATTGAGGTGATCACGGAATGGGGGGAGCATCTGGTGGCCGGACAGAACTGGTGGCTGGACTGCTCGGACCTGGCCCTAAGCTAGAGGCGGTGGCCCGCGGGAAGGTCCAGCAGTGTCAGGAGTCCCAGGGGCTGCACCGCCACCTGCTGAGCAGCCAGGGCAGTCCCAGGTCCTGCGCTGCTGGGTTCAAGCTAGGTGCCTCGGGCGCGGTTGGCGGCGAGTGGGAAGGAGGGACGCTGAAGGGGGTGCGCAGGTGAGCGCAGGCTGGTTGCTTCCCGGCGGCGCCAGCCCTTCTCGCCAGGGAGTTGAGTGCCCGGGTAAACACCAGTCGCGATGTGCACGGTGTATCCACGGAGAGACAAAGCCAGGGCGGGGCGGGGGCGCCGCC